TTCAATGTGAGAAATTTACTAATTGTAAATTTTGATTTAAATCACTCTATTTCACAAAATAATCTGTTGTCAAATTAATTTTAAAAAATATTAGAGGTTTCAGGGTTTCAAATGAACACTTTTTTGTTTTGTCCAAACTAATAGTCATGGAAACAAAAATGCCAGAAAGTTAATTTTCGTTACACGTGTGAGCCACTGTATATTTTGCAATTTCTGCAAAATGCACAGAATTTGCATAATTTGCAATAGATTTCTGCAAATTTTGCAAATGCAGTAAACTGTATATCCTATGCTGGAAAAGCTATCGAATGATTGTGTAATGATCATATCATGTTAAGAATAAAATTTACAAATCTCTTTTTCAATATTGTGAAAATCTTTTTGAACTATAATATAAATTTCAGTGTTATCAATTTTTGCTTCCAGTGGGCTTTTATAATAACTGGAAGCCATTGGATAGTTCAATTGGATATTAATTTGCTTCCAATGAAATTTTGAGTGTTCCATTGACAAACTGATATAAAACATGAATATCGGAATAAAAAGTTAATCGCTTAATGTTAGAAAAAAATGTTTTTATGCACTTTACAAAACTCATTTGTGTTTCAAGAGCTAAATACGTACGTAAAAGTTTTTTTTAAAGAGTAATGACCGACTATTTTACAATAAATAACCAACATTTGAGCCTAAAAAAATATATTAAAACAAAAGGTGTGTTAAGAAACCATTGTGACAATAAAAATACAGATCGCAAATACTCATCCGCCTATCCTTCTACAATGCTCCTACCATCTTCAGACACAGGTTTTGCTTTTGACCTAGCTGCAGGGCCTGTCGTTGCTTTTCTTGATGTTCCTGTTGGCTTTACTTCGTAGACAAGATCTTTAATCTCTGATGTGGTTAAAGGACACGTTTATTGAACCAGATAAACTTAATTTCTGATACACTAAAAAATGTAATAAATATCAATATATATTATGAGAAGCCAAATCAAATGAATAGGAAATATTTAGCAAAAAAAAATACCTTTCGAATTGCATTGACTTTTAGGACTGTAGTATCAGTATAGGTTTCCAGCAGTTCTTTATCAAGCGCGATATATTGCAACATGTCGTAAAATCGCTTTGGAGCTATCAAGTAAAATAAAATTCTTTTAAACACAAATATTAAATGCGAATTTGAATGAGAAATTTGTACCAGGATTTTTGAATTTGTCAGGTAAAAAGCCGCTTTTTATTGTGAAAGTATTAATCACTTCTTCCGCAATTTGAACCAAATCCGAAGGTAGTAATAACAAAAGGCTCAGCGATAATACAAGTTGTGCGAACTATCCTTTACTGATTTAAGTTCAGACATCTTTTTCAGTTCGTTCAGTTCGTCGGCGGTATAGAAAATCCGAAAAAATTGGAACTTGAGCAAATTAAAAACAGTAATATATCGAAATTAATAATCATCAATAGATACACCAAAGCAATAGTATTTAATATCGGGGATTAATAGAGTTGCGCGGTACCCTAGTATAAGAATGATAAAAGTTTGAATTCTATTATTAATTCTTGAAAAAATTGAATTTTACCACGCATATATAAGTAGCTTGAGAGCATGCTAGTTTAATCTTCTCAGCTTTCGTATATGCTCATTGATGTATACAGTGGCGCTCAAATGTAATGCGAGAAAATAAACAAGTTAAATTTTAGTAATATAAACGCTACAGAAATATGAATTCATTTATTTGGTCTTTATTTACGTCAAACCAGCGATGCATTTCTTTTGATCGTTTCCTCTTCAAAATAAAATATATAAGCACATCAAAAAAACACAAAACAATACACCTAAGAATATACTCTTTTATCCCATACCATTCAAATTATCATGGCTTATATTCCCATCAAAAAAAGAGCCCAAATTTATCCCTTCTTCAAGAAGGATATTCTTCTCGTTTTATTGCAAACCGTGAACATATTTCCCAATCCACCGTCATAAGAATAAAGCAGAAAAAAGATGCTCATGATACATTTAAAAATTAACCAAACCAGGTCGTCCTAGAATTTTTACTGGTCGCGACGAACGAAATATCATACGTCTAATTTCGAATGGTGATTGTTCTACTGCAGCTTCCATCCAAAAAAAAAACTGAAATCTGAAGACAAAATCGAAGTCAGCGCAAATTAAGTGAAAGAAATCATACCTTAAGAAAACACATTGAATTTAACGTTTGAATTTCGCAAAAAAACATCAACAGTGGACAACTGATGACTGGCGCAGAGAGTTATCTGGTCCGACGAATTAAAAATTTATGATTTTTAATTCGGATGGACGTGAATACTACTGGAAACGTGATGATAAACCACTAAAAGAGCACCATGTGAAACCTACAGTAAAATTTGGGGGTGGGAATATAATGGTTTGGGGTTGCTTTTCATCCTTTGGCGTTGGCAATATCATGCGCATTTACGGTTGTATGGATAAGGAATTGTACCGTGAAATCTTGAATGATGATCTTTTAGGAACAATCAGGTGGTATCGGTATGCTATGATATTATCTTTCAACAAGACAATGATCCAAAACACACGGTAAACTCTACATATGAATGGTTTGATTATAATGAAATTCGTATACTTATTGGCCTCCCCAATCACCCGATCTTAACCCAATCGAGCATCTCTGGAACGAAATACGTTCGTACTGTTACACCAGTAACACAGTCTCCTTTTAGAAATACATTGTTTTTTTTTGTGTGCGTTTCTTTATTTGTGTTATTTGTGTCAATCAATTCAAATTACACCGCAAATTACAATCCAATTTACACTGCAAATTACACCATAAATTACACCGCAAATTACACCGCCAATTACACTGTAAATTACACTGTAAATTCTACCGTAAATTACACTGTAAATTCTACCGTAAAGTCCATTGTAATTTACACCGTAAATTACATCTTAAATTACATCGTAAATAGGAAGCCAAAAATGTATATAATAAGAGTGAGAAAGAGTAATTAGAGAAGAGGCAGAAGAATTGGCAATAAAGCAATAAAAAAACTTTAAAATATAATTACTTACTTGCGTATAATTAGTTTTATATGGTGCCCTTTCGTCCTCCATCCCAATAATTAAATCCATTGTTACAAAGAGGGGTTTGCTACTTTGATCCAGAAAAAGTGAGGTGAATACGATTTAAAGGGTTTGTCGCTTTGATCCAGAAAAGTGAGATAATTGTTTTGATGACTACGATTTAAGGGTTTACGCTTTTGGTCCAGAAAAAGTGAACGCATTGTTAACATTTGTGAAACACGTAAACGAAATCAAACTGACAATTGAACACAACAATATCCGAAGATATTGGCACAGAACCTTGGAAAACTAATAAATAAAATAACTTTAGTTTAATTCGTTTCTCCCACCCCAAGTTACAGATTAGCAACTAATTCCTATAATCGGTCGCTAACCTGTAACAGTACATGTACAAAGATGCATTGATCGCGAGAATTTTCTGTGACATAAGGTTGTGTTTTACATGTACAAAGATTCGATTTGTTTGTTATCGTTATATTAAAAATAATTGCCCAAATTGTCAAGAGATTATGTATGTACGAGAAGCTTCTATATCCCTGAATTTACTCGTTGGAATTTTTGTTGCAAAATTAATTCCTCAGATAGATAAATTAGTGAGCGCGCGTTACAGTAACACTCTTTAAGATAACATCTCGTTATACTAACACAAAATCTCTTCCCCCAATCTCATTATGTAATAAGCTTTCATAAATTTATTTTTTCGATAGAGTAACATCTCGATATAAGAACACCAAATCTCTTCCCCGATCACGTTATTGTATCGAGCGCCCACTGTAATAGTGAAAATGCTACTTGCGAAAGGATTCGATAGCTTTTAGTTTCTAATTTGCTTATAGCTGAAGTAAAGCTGTTCGGCTATCTCTAGTCCAAGATTTGAATCATTTTGGTATGTATAATTATATTATTATGCACGCTAGACATTCTGTGATCAATTGACAAAATGCACGAACCAAGCTTGTTACATGTACAATGTAAAATCAAGTCTACAAAAGCACCATGATAAAAACCAATAATTATAAGATACCAAT